TGGCTGGCAATTCTTACCTCCTGGGCCAGGTCCTCTGCGGCCTCCACAAAGCTGCCCATAGACTCCTGCGCTTGGCTCAGGGTGGACCTCAGGGATTCCTGGGGAGAAGATGCCAAGAGTGACAGGGACCTTGTCACCTAAGAACAGCACTCCACTAAGTTTCCACCATGCTATCTTTGTGTCCAATTTACAAATGTGGAAACGGAGGCTCTGGGAGGTGCGAGGACTTGTTCGAGGTCACTGGCTGGCTGGAGTCGTTGTCACCATGCCAGACATTCCTTGCCTAGGCACAGGATGAGGACTGTCCCCTTCAGTGCCAGAGACAGCCCAGGCAAAGTCCTGGACCCTGGCATCAGAGGTTCCTGTGAGCAACTGGTCCCTCAGCCCTGCTCACCCCTTGCAGAAGTGTCCCCAGGAGCTCAGTAGGCAGTGAAGGTTGCTCTTGCTGGTCATAGTGCTGAGGCTGGGCTGGGGGTGAAATGCACAGAACAGGGCTATGCAAACCTTGGCCAGAGATGCCCTCCCTCCACTGTCCCCCCTGTGCAGAGGGGCAGATGGGGCACCTCCGCTGCCTCACCCGTACTCCTGGCAGCCCTGAGCATGGGCATCAGTGCACCCAGGCCAGCCAGCGTCCTACGGGCACTGGGCCCCCCAAGTACAGTGCGGGCATCCACCAGGAGCCTGGACACCCTGGGGACACAGACAAGGCAGGAGGCTCAGCCCCCTCGCCAGCCCCGATCCCCCCCAGCTGGTCACAACACTGCCTCTTGCTTACAGGGACTCGTTGAAATTGCTCAGGAACCCGGGCTCCTCTCCGGGTGTGGGCTTCGGGAAGCAGGAGTTGTTTATGTTGCAGATGAGACCCTGGAGCCAGGGGATGGTGCCCGCAGACGGCAGTGGCTTGTTGGGGAAGTGGCCTGCGGGACAGATGCCGGCTCTGCCTGGAGCCCCACCTCTGCAGGCTGCCCTCCATCGCTTTATGCCCTCAGCGATGGCAAGCTCGCTCCCAGAGGCGAGTTCCTGCTGCCAATCCTTGCAGTTCTTCGTGGAGAACACCGTGTCCCACTCCCCATGCACCGAGTCCCGCGTCCTCGGGGCTTACATTCATGCTGCTCCAGTGGGGGGTGCGAGCGACGGACGGCCACGAGGATGAAGAACAGGAAGAGAGGCCATAATAACTCGACCAGGAGCTGGACCTGGGGGGGGGCAGAATTGGCAGGAGATCGTGGGGATCGTGGAGATCATGCCTGTCCCACCGGGCTGGCACCCCTGGGCATTACCGGCTGTCTCCTGCGATATGTGAAATTCTTCCAAAGCAGCAGCATCAGCTGTGTTCGAAAAGCCATGGGGACCCTGGACAGGGAACAGGACGGAGGGGTCAGTACAAAGGTCGTGCCGTGCGGTTGCGGGCAACGCCCTGCCTCTCTCTAAACGCATCCCTCTCACTATACCACTGTGCGGGGTTCCGGGAAGCTCTATTAGAGCCAGGTTTATAGTAGGCAGTTAATAAAGGATTCGCCTCCACCCGGGTGGAGTAAACCAATGGGAGCCCTGTCCAAAGCTGTTCTCACAGCTGATTGGTTGACAGGGCTGTCGCTTCCACAAGGGATCCTAAAAATTATCCCCGAATACCTCGGAGGCGGAGCCTCGGCTTAACGCTTCCGTCACCAGGTTCCACCCCATGCCCCACCCAGGGACCCGATCTGACGCCTCTCACCCCAGACCCAGGGGAGGATTCCTCTTGCCTGGCCTGTCCAACAATGATAACAGCAACGAATATTTCCTGTGTTGAACATGTCAGATACCCGACTGGCACGGCTACTAAGACTATCACCCCAGTTACAGAATTGGAAACTGAGGCTCAAGAAGGGACAAACAGCCAGACCTGATGGTGCGGGCCTGTGATCCCAGCGCTCTAGGAGCCTGAGGCAGGAGGATTAGAGCCCAGCCTGGGTAATTTAGCAACTTTGAGACCTTGTCTCAAAAATAAATAAATAAAAATTAAAAATGCTATAAAGAGGGCTGGAGAGGTAAAAGACGGGGGCAAATTCAGGTTCTCAGAGCGATTACATCCCAGCTCTGTCCATCCCCTCATGCATTACTGATCTCAGAAAAACCACAAGATCCATGAAATGGGTCAGGAGAAGTAGGGGAGCTAGACTCCTGGTCCTGTCCTTTTCTTTAAACCGTATGGCTAGGTTCTACTTGATTGTACAGATAGCAAAATTGAACCCAGAGGCAGTAAGTCACCAAAGGTCAACCATGCGCCTGCGAACCAGAACCTGGACCCCAGACCTCCACTCCGGGGCTCCTTCTTAGACAGAAGGACAGGAGGATTCAGAACCTCGGGTCACATGGGGATTTGCAGTTGAATGATTTGCAGGCAGGCACAGGCCCTTGAGTGACCCAGATGCCCACATTCTCCCTTTGATACTCCCAGGAAGGAAAGGGTGAGTGTTGGGGAGCAGCCAGCACGTCCTATTTTCCAGGCAAGTGGCCTCTGGCCACCTCCAAATTCCAACCCTGCATGCTTGAGTCTCCCTCCTTCCTCTTTGGGTCTCTCTCACCATTCAGCTCCCCAGCTCCAGCCGCCTTCCCTCCGCCTGACAGCAGCTGGGGAATGCGGTCCCTTTAAAAGGAGACCCCGGCGGGTGCGGCTCAAGGGTAGCCGACCCAGCTTCACTAGCAGGAGCCCCGCCCTTGACCACTGCTATTGGTCATGGTACCCGCCACTCACAGAGCGACCCATCCGGCGCCTCGAGCGCCCAGAAGGCGGAATTAACGGCAGTCACCTTGAGCCGAGTTTCTTAAAGGGACGAACGCGTGTTGCGACGTTCTCTCAAGGGTGGCAGCATCTCCATCTTGCCCGTAGTAGCCGGCCTCAGACCGGCTCTTCACACTGCATAGCTGGCGCCAGTACTACAGCCCCATCCCCACAGGAGACCCCTGTCCCTCGGGAACCCGGATCCTAGCCAGACTCAGACTCTGGGATTACCATTTGCCCTCCATAATAAGGGGGTTCGTGGTGGTAACATGCCCGGGATTCTAGCACTCCAGGAGGCTGAGGCAGGAGGATGGCAAGTTCAAGCCCAACCTGGCTAATTTAACAGAATACAAAATAAAATACAAACATTTAAAAAGGACTAAGGATGTACCTCGAAGGGGAGGCCTTGAATTCAATTCTCACTACTGCAAAATTTAAAGTCACAGGACTATAATCCCAGTACTCAGGAGGCTGAGGCAGAAGGATTGTGACTAGATCAAGGCCTGCTGGGGCTACAGTGAGTTCAAGGCCAGCTTGAACTAGAGACCCTGTCTCAAAAAATAAAATAAAATAAAATAAAAAAGCACGTGTGTGTATAGATGATTATTTTCTACCCAAGTCTTCATTCAACTAACATTCCTGGGGCCTTACACTGGGCTATCTGATGGCAGAAGGTGGGAAGGAATCTGCGTAGTAATGATTACACAGTTTATGGAAAACCAGATGGTTCCTGGTGTGAAGAACAGGTAGATTTCACAAGATCACGGTGAGGATAAGACAGCTGTATGTAGAAACAGCTTTGAGAATGCCGTAAAGGGGCAGGTATGCCATTGAGGAAAGTGGCTTTTTTCTTGGGGCTTTGAAGATGTGCAGGAGTTCATTGGGGAGACAGGCTCAGTCAGAGGCCAGGGGGCTGACAAGGGGCGTGTAGGGCAGTGCCAGAGCTAAAAGGGCAGGGAGAGTTTGAGGCCCAGCTTCCTGGGCTTCTTTCCTTCCTAACCCTCTTCCCTTACCCAGGTCCCAGGCTTGAATCCGGATTCACCTTGTGGCTCAGGCCTCATTCCCCCCACCCCGAGGCTGCTTCTCCCAGAGCCTCTCCCGCAAAGAATGAAAGCAAAGCCATATTCCATACCAGGGTTGTCCAAGGGAACTCCCAAGTCCCAGGCATTTTTTTCTTAAAAATGGAGGCTTTTTTTATTGTTTTTGGTCCACATTCATATTTCACATTATCTCATGGTCCAGGGGCCCTTGAGTGGGGGTCCGTGTCCAGTCCTCGGTGGGGCAGCAAGGGCAGGGATCAGAGAGGTAAGCACAGCTGGTCAGGCCCAGAGTGGGAAAGGGGGGTTTTGAATCCCACTGAGGGCCGAGGTGGAGGCAGGCTAGGGACGGAGGCTGGCCTTGCCTCGGCTGCTCTGAACATCATTGTTCTATTCTCCCTCAGCCTCACCTGCCCGACCCTGGGAAGGCGCAGGGTGGCTCACCCAGAGGCCCTCAGGATACCTACGTTTTAAAACTGTGGCCTGGCCCCTTTCCCGTGTCCTATCACCCTCCCACCATACCTAACCCAATCCCCATGCAAAAAGAGAAAGAAAAGAAAATTTACTGTTTTCTTTTGTTAAAACGGCCTGAAACCTTTGTGGTTACAGAAACCACAAGCTGATGGGGGGATGAAGCAGGAAACCATTTGGGGCCAGGTTCCCCTTCCTGGTCCTGTCTCTCCCCCACACAGCTCTGCCCAAAGCCTGCTGGGAAATCTGGGGCCTGGGATGCCCCACCCCTCAGCACCCTAACATGGCCAACTCCTCCACAGGTGGCTCAGTCCTGCAAAGGTAGAGAAACAGGATGGGGAGAGCCAGGTGTAGTGGTGCGTGCCTGTGACCCCAGCACTCAGGAGGCTGAAGCAGGAGGATTGCAGTGAGTTCGAGGCCAGCCTGGGCTACACAGTGAATTCGAGGCCAGCCTTAACGGCATAACCAAGACCTTGTTTCAAGAAAAGGGGGTGCGGTGGCTGGGGATTTAACTCAGTGGCACTGTGCCTGCCTTGCAAGCACAAGGTCCTGAGTTCTATCCCCGGTACCAAAGATTGAGAAGGAAACAGGATAGGGGAGCCAGGCATGGTGGCACAAGCCAATAGCCCAGTACTCAGGAGGCTGAGGCAGGAGGATCACCGCAAATGCAAGGCCAGCCTGGGCTACATAGTGAGTTTCTTCCAGTCTAAGATACATAGCAAGACCCTGTCTCAAAAAACAAAAAACAAAAGAAAAAAATGGGAGAAAAAAGAGCTCGCAGCCACCCCATCCCACCCAACCCCACAGCACTGAATATGTTGAAAGAAAGAGAGAAAAAGAAAAAAGGAAAGAAAAAAAATGAAAACCCGGATGGAGAGACCGTAGAAGCGTCAGCTGGTGCCTCAGCAGCCAGCCTCCTCCTGATAGTAAGGTGGGTACTCCGAGGCCTCCTCTGGGAGGTCACTGGTCCCGGAGGGGACCCCATCTGCCACTGTGCCCTGAGGGCAATACTTAGGGTCGTAGATCTGGCGGCCGAGACCGAACACCTGGCCACTCTGGTTGGCGCCCTGCGTGTACCCCATCTGTAGGGACATGGAGGAGTTGTCACACTTGTCGGTCCCCAGCTTGGTGTCGTAGATGTGTCGCCGGGTCCCTGGCGCTGTCATGCCCACCTGGAGAAAGAAGTAGTGGGGGGGTCATTGTGGGGCAGGAAGGGAAAAAGAACGCTCCAGTTCTTCCTCGACTGCTTTGACACCAGGTACAAAATTCCTATGGAGCCGTACCCGGTGGCCCACACTCTGGGATCCTTGGGGCTTGAACTTGTATCCTCCTGCCTCACCCTCTTATAGTGCTGGGATCACAGGTGTATGGCCCCACAACGGGCTTCCCAGGATCTAAACACTGAGTTGAATTTGAGTAGTATCTGAAAAGCAACCTTCTGGGGGAAAGTGAGGCATGGGGTGGCGTGGACACTTCCCCAGCGGGGGAAAGAGGGCTGCGGCTGAACTCCGAGGCCCACAGTGCCCACCTGGCTGGCGCACTTGTTGGTGCCCATCTGCAGACTGATGGTGGAGTGATCCATGGGGGGCAGGATGTGGTTCTTGGGGTCATAGAGGTGCCGCCGGGTGCCATAGGCCGTCATGCCCGACTGGCTGGCACATTTGTTGGTGCCCATCTGCAGGAGGGACGGGACAGGAGCGTCAGGCCGGCCTCCCTGGGTGGACACCAGGGGCCCGCATCACAAGCAGGGTCACCTGTAGCCCGATGACACACTGGCCGGCCTTCATGGTGGCATCGTCAAAGTTCCGCTGCTGCTTCTCTGAGTACTTGACCCCAATGTCCACTCCAGTCTGCAGCCCCTTTGTCTTGGCCTGGGGCAAAGAAAGGAGAGGAGAGTGGAGGCTGGCTCGGACATCTCCATCCAGCCTGAGCTACCTAGACAAACTCTGACTCCAAACAAGACAGAGACAGACATTGACCCCACCATGCTGTGTAACTCCGGGCAGGTGGCTGTCCCTTTCTGAGTCTCACCTTCCCCGCCAGCGCAAGCAGAGACACTTGGACCTGTGTCATGTTCCCGCTCTCAAACAGGTCATTGGCCTCAAACAGGTCCACGGGGTTCATTCCATAGCTGACCATGGCCTTGATGAAGTTGGAGAGGTTTTCTAGCTGGGAGGAGGCGGAGGAAGGGCATGAGTGGACCTCAGTCTTACCCCGCCTGTGGGTCCCAGACCCGTCCTTCCTGCTCCCCGGCCGTGCCTCACCTGGTGCCAGTTCTGCATGGAGCGGTTGATCTTGGGGACAGAGCCCGGCTGCAGCTTATTCATGAGTCTGGGGGACAGGGGCAGAGTCTGTGTCAGACAGAGCTGGAGCCTTGGAGGCCACAACGAGACCTCCTGTCTGTCTCTCTTTTCTTGTACAGTGTGACCCGGGGCCGTCACTCTGAGATGCATTCCCCAGGCCGCCCCCCCAAACACTTTTTTTTTTTTTTTGGTACCGGGGATCGAACTCGGGTCCTTGTGCTTGCGAGGCAGACAGCAGAACCACTGAGCTAAATCTCCGGCCCACTTGTTACCATTTTTAATGTGCAAAACCCCAATAGTCTGAATGATGTCCCCCGAAGTGGGCAGTGTAAGGTCAGGGTGCTCACTGCTGGAGGTGCCAGATGGGTCAATAAAACAAATAAAAGCCCAGTGTAGTGACGCATGCCTGCCGTCCCACATACTCAGGAGGCTGAGGCTGGAGAGTCCTCCTCCCTGGGCAACTTAGCAAGACCCTATCTCAAAATAAGAGAGCTGAGCAGCAAGCGCCTGCCTAGCATGTGCCAGGACCCTGGATTCCATCCCAAGCACTGAGAAAAAGAAAAACAAAGACAAAAGAAAAGAACCCAACACGCACTTAGCAGAAGCCAGCCCCGCGTTCACTCACGTGCACAGGATGACCCCGTCCTTCAGGCCCTTTTGGAAGTCAGGACCGATGGGGAGGCCCGTGAGGCCCTCGATCCAGCTGCGGAGCTCCACCTCTTTCTGCGGGTTGTACTTGGACAGGAGCTGGAGGAGCGGAGGACGAGAGCTGAGCGGTATGGCCAGGGACTCCAGGGAGGGAGGAGACGGAAGGGACCCGAGGCCCTGGCCCTCCCAAGCACACAGCCTCACAGCTCCCACTGGCGCTGAAAAATCTCTCCCTGGAGCCCGTGGTGGGGCATGTCTGTCACCCAGCACTCTGGGAGGCTGAGACAGGAGGATTGCAAGGTCGAGCCCAGTCTGGGCTACTTAATGACTTCGAGAGACCTCCATCTAAACTAAAAAATAAGGGACTAAGATGTAGCTCAATGGAAGGCTCAGGGTTCATCCCCAGGGCACAATTCAGTGGCAGTCAGTACCTTCAAAATAAAACCGTGTGCGGGCCAGGGATTTAGCTCAGTGGTTCCACCGCCTGCCTTGCAAGTGCAAGGACCAGAGTTCGATCCCCGGTCACAAAAATAAATAAATAAATAAAATAAAATAAAACCGTGTGCAGCCACCACCTCTAATTCCAGACATTCCATCACCCCGAAACAAACCCCTGCCCCACAGGCAGCCCCTGTCCCCTCCTCCCCAGCCCTGGCACCCCCGAGTTCATTCCGTCTCTGGAGTCGCCTGTCCTGGGCATTTCCAGTCTGGGGAGTCCACACTGTGTCCTCTGTATTTGGCTTCTCTCACTGAGCATGGTGTCCTCAAGGTCCCTCCATGCTGTGGTGAGTGTCACAACCTCGCTTCTTTTGGCGGGGGGGTTCTGGGGATTGAACTAGGGGCCTTGTGCTTGTGAGACAGATGACAGCACCACTGAGCTAAATCCCTGGCCCTATTCTTTTTCTTTTCCTTTTTGGTTTTTTTGAGACAGTCTTACCAAGTTGCCCATGCTGGCCTCAAACTCACATTGATCCTCCTGCCTCAGCCTCCAGAGTGCTGGGATGACAGGTGTTACGGCTGTGTCTAGATGTCCCAAAGCCTCATGGAGTCATAGGTGGGGCTTTTTCAGAAGTGGCTGGATCTAGAGTATGTGATGCTGGGATCAAGAATGTGTGTTTGCTGGGGATGTAGCTCAGTGGCGCCGCACCTGCCTCACAAGCCCAAGGTCCTGAGTTTGATCCCCAGTACCGCCAAAAAAAAAAAAAAAAAGTGTGCGCTTACTAAATTGGTCCACATATTGGTTTGGCATAGTTCTGGGTAGGATTAAGGGTGCCGTGCGAGTGCTATCTGCCCTAAGTGTAGTCTGGATAGGATATATTGGGCAGAAAGGGTCATCACTTTGCTTGTCACTTGTTGCTTGCTGCTTGCTGCTTGCTGTCTTCTGCCTGCTTTTCTTTGCCATGAACTGTTTCTCCTCTGTGACGCCCCTCTGCCATGCCACCCTGCCTTGGAGCCAGCCAACTATGGACTGAAACCTCTACAGACTGTGAGCCCAATAACCCTTTTCTCCTTTAACTTTGGGTGTTGGATATTTTGTCTCAGCAAAGTAACTAAGACAGCAGGTGTGTGTACCATGCTGGGAGCCTTGTCTTTTCCCTCCACCGCCCCCCACACTCAGGGGGTGGCCGCTCCCCAGTGCTGCCAGTCCTATTGGTATATACCCAGCACAGGTAATTTCCAGCTGCCTTTTTCTGTCTCTTGCATGTGTCCCAGACAGTGGGGTCCCACGGGGACTCTGTCCAGCATCCCTGCCTCCCACACCAATCCATGGTCCTCCTGGCATTTATCACCATCTGCCAGTATGCTATGCACCTCCTTGCTTATACTACCTACCTGAGCACCACGGTGCACACCTATAATCCCTGCACTACTGAGGCTGAGGCAGGAGGATCCCAAGTTGAAGCCCAGCCTGGACAACTTAGTGACTTAGCAAGTAAAAAAATAAAAGCAGGGCTGGGGATGTAGCTCAGTGAGAAAGCCCTGATTTTGACCTCCAGCTCTGTACCACTAAACAAACAAATAGAAGTCAGTTGTGGCTGTCAGACCCCTGCCCTCCTTTCAGTGAAAGATGGGGCCTTTCCTCGCCCCCCTCCCAACTCCCCAGGGACTAAAAGGGCCCGAGAGCCTGATTGCTCCTCCCAGCTCTGCACCCAGCTCCCCCATGGCCAGGGACAGCTGCTTCACGGCTGAGCCTCAGTTTCCCCAGTCTCCTGAGGAATCATTTGCATAGTGGTCGTATGTAGGGGGTACCGGGAGTTGAACCCAGGGCCTTCAAACTAGCTATGTCCTACCCCCTTTTCACTTTTTAAATTTCCACGCAGGGTCTCGCTAAGGTCCCAACTTGCCCAGCCTGGGCTCTACCTTTCCACCCTCCTGCCCTCAGCCTCCCAGGATGCTGGGATGACAGCCATGGGGCACCGTGAGCCTCCGGTTCTCCTTAGGGGCACCCAGGACGGGAGGCAAAAGTGGACAACCCCACCAGCCAGGCCACCCCGGGGGCCCCTGGCTTCCTGCGTGCCCAGCCCAGCTGGGGAGGTGGCTCTGGGGACCCAGGTCCAGGCCCCGCCCCCGCACCGCAGTGGTCACCTCCCTCCCACCCCTCAGCACATTCCAGCTGCCCTCAAACTGCCAGGAATGCGGCCCTGGCCTCCGAGGCTAAATTGGGACCAGCTGTTCCCAGCATCCTGGACCCCCCCCCCCGGCCAGGACTGCATGGCAGGGCTGCTCAGTCTCCCTGGGCACGGCCAGCCTGCCACGGGTAAACTGAGGCACAGGCTTCACGCAGAGAGGTCTCTGGATCCCCTGGCCTGAAGAGGCTGTAACATGGACCAGCTGTATGCTGGACGCCACGGGAAGCCCCGCTCCAGCCAGAGTGTGGCCTGTGTGTGACCTGCAGGCGCCATGCCCACCCTCCAGCTGGGCAAACTAAGGCCCCTGGGCAGAGCAGCAGAGCCCCTCTCGGGCTGTCCCCTGGGCTGTCCCTCCCTCCTTCTGTCACCCAGCTGGATCAGGGGCCGCCTGGGTCCCCGTCTTGGCTCTGCCTGTGGAAAAGCTGCGTGACTCTGAGCAGACCAGCAACCTCTCTGGGCCCCAGTGTCTTCACCTGCCTGTGTGTCAAGGAGATGCCTCCTGGCCTCGGGGACAGTGCCTCAGGCTTGCAGGGGACTCCAACTCTGACTTCCACCTCCTCTTGCTGAGGTGGCTCCTTCTGAAGCCCCAAGGCAGGCCGGTAAATTCTGCGTGCCAGGACAGGCCTGCTGGGAGGCCACATTCCCAGGTGCCTGTGGGTGCCTACGCCCCCCACGCAGAGATGACAGCCACCCCTGCACCCAGAAGGTTCCCCGCCTGTCCGGCCCGGTAACTGGGATCAGCACCTGCTCTTTCCCAAAGATGCTCTGCTGTGTGACCCTCAGAATATCTGTCCTCTGATCCAGGACCAGAAGCACTTTCTGTCTTTACTTTTCTTTTAGTACTGGGAATCCGACCCAGGGTCTTCACACTAAACTAAACTCCTCACCCTTTTTTACTCTGAGAAAAGTTCTTGCTACTTTGCTAAATTGGCCGAGCTGGACATGACCTCACCAACCCTCCTGCCTCAGCCTCCCAGAGCGCTGGGAAAACAGGCCGGGACTGCCAGGCCCACCAAGGAGCACTTTCTGAAACATTCCCTGGGCCACGCTGTTTCCAGACGATGAACTGCGTGTGCTGCCCCAAACTCAAGAGATGGAAAAAGCCTACAGCGGATCTGAGCCCTTGGTCCCCCTACCCCAGGTGGGAGTGGCAGAAATTCCACTGCCCCCCCCCCCCGCTCCAAAGCCACCAGCCCCGCCCCCTCCCTCCCTAATTAGAGCACCCCAAAAGCGGAAGTGATACCGAAGGGACAGCTGGGGTCCCCCTAGACCCCTTGTGCTTTCTTGGGCCTTGAACCTTCAGGAGCCCCCAGGGTGGTGGCCCTGGGAAGGGGATAGGAGGAGGAGGGGGGACCAGACCTCCCCCAGATGTTGGGGACGTGAGAGGTCACTCCCCCTCCCCACCCAGACTTCAGACCCCGGTGCCCCCAGATGTGCGGGAGCCTAAAGACCGCCCCGCGAATCCCCAGAAGTCAGGAAGACAGGGGTCCCTCTGTCCCCGCGGGCTGCTGCCCAGGCCGGAGCTCCCACTTACCCGGTTCTTGACCTCGGCCGACAGCCCGTACGAGGGTCCCTTGTTGAACTGCGTGGAGCTCATGGCTGGGACACACAGGCCAAGGACTAGGACCGACGGGACAGGGACCGGGGTTGGGACCCAGGCGATCCCCAGAAGTCAGGAAGACAGGGGTCCCTCTGTCCCCGCGGGCTGCTGCCCAGGCCGGAGCTCCCACTTACCCGGTTCTTGACCTCGGCCGACAGCCCGTACGAGGGTCCCTTGTTGAACTGCGTGGAGCTCATGGCTGGGACACACAGGCCAAGGACTAGGACCGACGGGACAGGGACCGGGGTTGGGACCCAGGCGCGAGACGAGGAATTACTCCTGCTCTGCTCCTCCTGCTCCGAAGTCTCCCTCTCACACTTTCTGGTTCTCAGTTTATTTTTTGCACCGTGCAAACGAGAACCTTCTCTGCCACTTGAAGGCACCTCCCACACTGTGCCTTTCTTCCCAGGAACTCTCACAGCTGGGGGTGGACAAGGGGACACGGACAGGTTCTTCAGTAGAGGGGGCAGGGTGGAGCTGGGGCTTTGATGGATGCATAGAAGTCTGCCAGTGCAAAAGGGAACGCTCTCTTGGTAGAGTAAAAGGGTGGAGGGAAGGTTGTGGAGATCCAGTCAGCAAGGGGGACAGGGGCCTGTGTAGGAAAAGGCTTCTAGCGGAGGGCTGTGGGCTGCTGGGAATCAGGGGAAGTGGTGAATGGGAGTGAGATCAGGTTAGGTCAGGGGTGACACGGGGCAGACACACAATGGCTGTTCTATAGGTGCTTGAGCTCAAAGGGTGTCTACCAGTGGATCAATAAATTACTAAATGAGCTGGCCATTGTGGCACATGCCTGTCATCCCAGCAGTCAGGAGGCTGAGGCAGGGGGATCACCATGAGTTCCAGGCCAGCCTGGACTACATATCAAGACCCCAACTCAAAACTCCCCAAATTAATAAATATATAAATAAAAGTAAGTTACTAAATAAGTAAAGAAGCAAATGAATTCTCATTCAGTTCGCTCCTTCACCTGTGTGCTGAGCAGAAGCACTGCCCTGTTGCTAGGACCATCCCTCAGTTGGGGGCTGTGCTTGAAAACTGCTCAAGAAGCTGACCTGTTAGAGGGGGGTTGGGAGATGGGGTTTTGAGGCTTGAGTAAGAGTTGGACACATCTGGTAAGTGGCTGGCTGGGCTCTTTGAGAGCTCAGGGATGACTCCCGACCCCTCCTGGGAGAGGACTCCTCCCTGATGCTGGGCTCCCGGACATCTGTTCGCTTGTACGCCTCCGAGCATTCTCTCATCCCATCTCTCTGAGTTTGAGTTCCAGCAGGATGGTTTCAGGCAAATGCTTGCCCTTCAGGGTCTCCAATTCGAGGTCTCTGGGAAGTGGGCCCTGGGGTCCTGGGCACCCCTGCAGGGCTGGCTGTGGGGCCAACAAGCAGCACTGTGGATCCCTCTGCAGCGATGCAAGGGCAGCTGGGGTCCAGGGAGGGCCAAGGGCTTGCCTGGACCCTCTAAGCTGCAGAGATCCTCTTGCTTCAGCCTCCTTACATGTCCTGGACCACAGGTATACCCCACCTCCCTAGCTTGCTTTCCTTTTAATCAATTTTAAATTTAAATTAAAAATTTATGATGCATTTCTGTGTTTGTTTAAAGAGAGAGCCTTGCCTTGCTCTGTTGCCCGAGCTGGGTCCAAATTTGCAATCCTCCCGCCTCAGCCTCCCAGAGTGCTGGGATGACAGGCACATGCCATCTGTGCAGAACTTTTCTACCTTCTATGTACTCTGGTGTGTTGGTTCCTCTGTAAGGGCACAGTAGAACAGTTACTCTGCAAAACAAGGCTGAAAATCCAGGTGTGGTGGTACACACCTGTAATCCCAGCACTCGGGAGGCTGAGGCAGGCAGATCGCTGTGAGTGTGAGGCCAGCCTGGGCTCCATAGTGAGTTCAAGGCCAGTCTGAACTACATATCGAGACCCTGTCTCAAAACACCAGAAAAAGCCCCACTCCACCACAAAACAAATAAAAGTCTGAAAATATGGCCTGTTGGCTTGTTACACAGTTTACTGATCTTTGCTCTTAACTCTCAGCATCCCCAAACCCAAGAATCCTCCTGAACCAGATATTGCAGAATTTAAAATCCTGGATATCTGGCACCTTAGGGTGCTATAGTTCCAGATCCCCAAGACCTCAGACCTCCAGAATTACATGCCTCAGTCTAACCTTATGATCTCGATGCTCCCTATTTCCCACCTTAGAGATCCCGTCTGGTCACTCGGCTGGGTGGCTTTGTCATCAAACCCATACCTCTCTGAGTCTCTGTCTCCAGCTCTGTAAAATGGGTACAACAGAAGTGTCTTCCTGGGGCCACTGCCAGTGAGAAATGGGTTAATACTTACAAAGTAAGCCGAGGCAGCAGGAATGCTGTGAGTTCGAGACCAGCCTGGGCTCCATAGTGATTTCCAGGTCAGTCTCAACTACATAGTGAGACCCTGTCTCAAAAACCAACAACCAAACAAACAAACACAAGAACAAAGCTGGGCATGGTGGCTCACACCTGTCATCCCTGTCAGCTACTCAGGAAGCTGAGGCAGGAGGATCACAAGTTTGATGCCAGGCTGGGCTACCTAGGAAAACACTGTATGAAATTTTGCGTTTGTTTTTTGTAGCCTTGAATTCACTATGAATTCCAGGTTGGCCTTGAACTTGCAGTGATCCTTCTGCCTCAGCCTCCCGGGAGCTGGGATTACAGGCAGGCACCACCAGGCTTGGCTCAAAATTAAAAATTTCTAAAGGGGCTAAGGGTGTGGTTCAGAGGCATGAGCACTTGCTTAGCATGCATGAGGCCCTGGGCTCCATCCTCAGCAAAAGGAAACATAAATATTAGCAGAGTGCAAGGCAGGCGCTGGGGCAGAGATAAGGGAGGACTTTGGTCAACAGATGAGAGAATCTCAGGAATTTGGAGCTGGGGAGCAGGACTGGTGGGTCTCAAGGACTTCCTGGCTTTCCTTGGGAAGAGTGGGGTGGGCCTCCGGGCTACCTGGGCCCTCACACTGTCACGGGAGCCTGGTGAGGACTGATCACTACAGCCACAGACTGGTCACAATGACAGCACAGCAGATAACCGTATACTTAAAAACTCCAGGACCTGACACTTGGGAGGCAGGCAGAGGCACCATCGGCAAACAACAGTAAACAATGAGGCAATCTCAGTCGTGTGGTGGACAAGCTCAGGAGGCTGAGGCAGGAGGATCCCTGGGAGTTCAAGGCCAGCCTGGGTTACATAGGGAGACCCTATCGCCAAAACAAACAACAAACAAACAAAATTAATGCGTGATGGTAGAGGGTCCGTAACAATACCAAGATCGTGCATTTACTGAGTACCTACTGTATGCAGGACATTCTATGCAATAGGAAGAGGACACTGGGGATATGAAGCAGGAGGTGACGCTGGGAGGCTTTTCTCAGCCCCTGAGTTGGTCATCAGTTAGGCTGTCCATCTGTCACCCTGCAGGGCCCAGGGTGCTCGATGTGTGGCCCTACCCGGCAGGCCGAGAACCTCTGCATACAGCAGGCACTCAATGAGTACTGACTGCAATGTGTTTCAAGAA